GTCCAGACCTGAACCTGGACCTGACCTGAACCTGGACCTGACCTGGACCTGGACCTGACCTGGACCTGACCTGAACCTGGACCTGGACCTGAACCTGGACCTGACCTGGACCTGGACCTGGACCTGGACCTGGACCTGGACCTGGACCTGGACCTGGACCTGGACCTGAACCTGACCTGACCTGACCTGGACCTGACCTGGACCTGGACCTGACTCGAGTTGCTCAGTCGCAGAGCCGTGAGGAGCCGTGAGGAGTTGAGGAGCCATGAGGAGCCATGAGGAGCCGTGAGGAGCCGTGAGGAGCTGTGAGGAGCAGATAAGGAGCCGTGAGGAGTTGAGGAGCAGATAAAGAGCCATGAGAAGCAGATAAAGAGCCACGAGGAGCCGTGAGGAGCAGATAAGGAGCTGTGAGGAGCCGTGAAGAGTTGAGGAGCAGATAAAGAGCCGTGAGGACCTGTGAGGAGCTGTGAGGAGCCGTGAGGAGCCGTGAGGAGCAGATAAGGAGCTGTGAGGAGCCGTGAGGAGTTGAGGAGCAGATAAAGAGCCATGAGGAGCAGTGAGGAGCAGATAAGGAGCCATGAGGAGCTGTGAAGAGTTGAGGAGCAGATAAAGAGCCGTGAGGAGCCGTGAGGAGTCAGGAGCAGATAAAGACGTAGCGCTGATGTGTTTTTAATCAGAGCTGTGGAGGCATTAGTGCTGATTCGGTGGAGGAGCAACAGTCTGAGTGTGGATCGTGCCAGATGCCCTCCCACAGCTCGTTAGTGTTCATTAACAGGGGCCATTACGGAGCCGAAGCTGAAGCGGGACATTAGGCTCCGGGGTTTCTGCCGCCGTCAGCACATCGGCGAGCTGACGGAGCACCTCCTGTTAGTGACGCCGTGTTGATGATCCGGTGAAGATCACAGACTCCGGGAGGACGAGGAGGACGAGGAGGACGAGGGGGACGAGGGGACGAGGGGGAGGGGGACGAGGGACGAGGGGACGAGGGGACGAGGGGACGAGGGGGACGAGGGGGACGAGGGGGACGAGGGGAGGGGGACGAGGGGGACGAGGGGGAGGGGGACGAGGGGACGAGGGGACAGGGACGAGGGGACGAGGAGGACGAGGGGACGAGGGGAGGGGGGACCGGAGCTGCTGCTGCGGGTCAGAACATCAGGAGGACGAGACGAGGAGGAGACAAAGACGAGACAAGACGAGACGAGACGAAGACGAGACGAGAGACGAAGACGAGACGAAGACGAGACGAGGACGAGACGAAGACGAGACGAAGACGAGACGAGACGAAGACGAAGACGAGACGAGACGAGACGACGAGACGAAGACGAGACGAGACGAGACGAAGACGAGACGAGACGAAGACGAGACGAAGACGAGACGAGACGAGACGACGAGACGAAGACGAGATGAAGATGAGATGAAGATGAGGTCAGATCTCAAACCAATAAAAGGTTCTACAGTTCATAAACCTGAGTCTGAGAGATTTAAACCATGTTCTGATGTTCTTCTGTTCTGATGTTCTTCTGTTCTGATGTTCTTCTGTTCTGATGTTCTTCTGTTCTGATGTTCTTCTGTTCTGATGTTCTTCTGTTCCCGGTCACACTCAGACCTGGACTTGTGTTTGTTTGAGTAAATCTTTATTTTGAGTCTGTTACATCTGCAAAACTCCAAACGCTCTGTTCCACCTTGTGATGTCATGAAGTGGAAGTTTTCAAGTTCTCAGCTCCTTTTTCTCTTTTGTTCAGTCGAGAGCAAATCTGACATGATCCAAATGATTCTGGAGACTTTCTTGTCTTGATTTTTAATGACTTTTTTTCTATTTTATTGTACATTTACATTTTTATAATTCTGCCTTATAAATCGTTTTCAGAACAGCTGAAGTTTCGCTCTTTTGGGTTGTGGAACTTCTGGTTAATGTTTTTTTTTTCTGTGTCAAAATGTGTGAAAACTTAAAGGGATAGTTCAGGTTTTTTGACATGAATCTGTGTGTCGTCCCCGTCAGCAGTGTCACATCCACACTGACTTCACCTCCGACAGCGTCCGGTGAGTCCAGATCCTGGCCGGTTTTGGTGCTGAGGAAAGTAGTTCGGCAAGTTGTTCTGGGGACAGAATAATAAAGAGTTTTTCTTCTCAAAACATGTGTTAAAAAGAGTGACACATTTGCACCACAAAACCTCCGTCCTCTAAAAAGTCAGACCTCATAATCACTTGGCACTATTTTCTCTCCGTTCGTATCACTGCGCCGCCGCCAGGTGACAGCCGAGCCTGTTTCACTTTGTTAAAGGTTGTATAGAGGATTTTTTAAGGAAAGAGAAATACAGCGACAGGCCTTTTCCTCTAGAAATCATTTGGAGACCGACACCTCAGTTTTTAGACCCTTTGTCTGCTTCAGTCGCGCAATCGCTGAAAGGAATCTCCAAGAATCACCTCAGTTTGTCTTCGCTCCTTTTCTCCTTCTCTTCTTCTTTCATCGACCTCAAAAACGGACTTTCTTTTGTGGAGAACTGGTCGTGGATTCTCATCCGGCATCGCAACAAACTGTGCGAACTGCGAGGAAGCTACAAGTAGAAAAAGCCTCTAAGAACCGCTGCATAGTTACCCTAGAAATGTAAAGAGTTTGACTGACAACCTAACAGCCATTAGAAAATGAGGCAACCTTGTTTTCTATTGGCTGATGTTTGTCTGGCCTCACTAAGTCCACAGTTCATAGATTTTCATTCTTTTTTTTGGTCATCATAATTACAAAGCTGCTGCAGCTCTGTAATGGTATTTTAAACTTTCATTGACAATTTGAAACTGAAAAAAAAAAATCCTCCATACAACCTTTAACTGCTCAGAATGTCAGCAACAACATGTCTGACTACGACACCGATGATGAAGAAACTGATTTTAGCACAGAGCCAATGGGAGATCTTTTTGAACTCGAATATACCAATACCGAGATTAGGCAGAGAGAGAGAAGAGGCGAATATTCCGAGCAGTAAACAGGCTCGGCTGTCACCTGGCGGCGGCGCAGTGATACGAACGGAGAGAAAATAGTGCCAAGTGATTATGAGGTCTGACTTTTTAGAGGACGGAGGTTTTGTGGTGCAAATGTGTCACTCTTTTTAACACGTTTTGAGAAGAAAAACTCTTTATTATTCTGTCCCCAGACAACTTGCCGAACTACTTTCCTCAGCACCAAAACCGGCCAGGATCTGGACTCACCGGACGCTGTCGGAGGTAAAGTCAGTGTGGATGTGACACTGCTGACGGGGACGACACACAGATTCATGTCAAAAAACCTGAACTATCCCTTTAAAGGAAACAACGAGTCACATTATTCACAAAACAAACTCACCTCATGTTCTGATCCTGAACAAAACAGAAGAAACTTGTTCACTCAGACTCGTTCTACTGTTAATGTTACAAATAGATTTGTGACGTTTAAATTCTCGTCTCCAGGAGCAGAACATGAGTTGAGTTTGTTGTGTGACTAATGTGACTTGTTGTTTCCTTTAAGTTTTGTTCTTTCTTCTCTTGATGTTGTGGAGAAATTGTTCATGAAGAATGTTTATCTTTTGTGGAGTTTGTTGGTTGAAGATTTGGTGATGGAGCAAAGGTCGACAAACACAGAGACTAAAAACACAGAGTAAAGAAGAGTCGCTGTTATTTTACCGACCAGGAAACAAACACACACACAAACGCACGCACACACACAAACACATTGTCATCTCAGTCGTGACCGTCTCGACTGTAAAGGTGGAACAGAGCGTTTGGACTTGTGCAGATTTCACACACTCAGAGCTGGAGTTGTGTTTGTTTGAGTGACTCTTTCTTCTGAGTGTGACGAGGGAACAGAGTTAGAACACGACTGAACAGTTTTGTGTGGTTTTTGAGTTTTAATGTTGCAGACAGAAACAGAAAGAATCTGTCCTGAGGAAGTGACGGAGGCTCAAGTGTTTATTGAATAGGGACAGTGCATATTAATGAACATCTACAACACTGCAGTGTAAATATGCCAGATTATACAAGACTGAACATTTCCGTCTGTCGTCCCTCGGCAGGAAACACCACAAATTTAAACAAAGCAAAAACAAGTAACAAATCTAAACTAAAAGTGCCCACAAGTCTGGTTTTTCTTCTCTTTTAAGTAGGACTTGAAGGTGGCAAGAGTTGGAGTTTCTCTTATTGATAGTGACAGACTGTTCCAAAATGTTGTGCTCCTGTGTGTCTCTCTCCTCTGTGTGTGTGTGTGTGTGTGTGTGTGTGTGTAGAATTAAAGTATAATAAAATATAAATACATGTTTTTATTCTAGATCCATGAACAGGTCGTTTCCTATTGGCTGTTTCCTCTCAGGGGGCGGGGCAAGAGGCACGTGAGTGTGAACGATACGCGCAGAAATGACCTGAAGGCCTCTGCTGCCCCCTGGTGACTCTCTGTGTGAACATCAAGTCCTGTTCTAATGTTCTAATGTTCTGATGTTCTGTTGTTTGTTCTGTCACTCAGAGCTGGAGTTGTGTTTTTTTTTTCTTCGTCCACATCAGTTTGTGGAAGAAAAAATGACTTTCTCCAGATAAACTACTTACGTTTTTCTTATTCTGTAAAACACTTTGTCTCTGAACTGTGCTTTACAAATAAAGTAATTCAAACTTGCCCATTATGAGTCTGTTACATCTCCAGACCCCCAGACGCTCTGCTCCACCTGGTGATGTCATCAAGTGAACAGCTCCTTTTCTCTTTAGTTCAGTCGAGATCAAAACTCCAGGACAGAAATGTTCCAGGTGATTCTAGTGAAGTGTGTGGAGTTTAAAAACACAGTGGAGCACCTCCTGTATCACCACACGATGACATCACAAGGTGGAACAGAGTGTTTTCAGTGTGAGAGAAGAACTCAGCCTAAACATGTGAAAGAAACAAAATGTGAGGAGGAAAAATCAGCATCACACGAGCCTTTCAAGAGGAAGAAAAACTATAAAGACTTAAAACAAATGAAATGAAAACTTCTTTTTTACCAAACTGTTTTATGTGCAGAATATAGAAAAATATAATCAGTGCCAAACATGATTAAACAGCAAAAGACTTTTTTTTTACGATGTGCAGTAACTTTAACCTGATCCACTAAAACAGATTTAAAATATTTTACACGTCTTTGGTTTTGTCGTATTTACATTTGCATAAATCTGTAAAATGTGTTTTATATAAAAGAGAAAGTTTTAAATATGAAAGTGGCTAAATAATAAAAACAGTCGGGATTATTGCACTAAAGCTCACAGCGGCGCCGGGCGAGACCAGGGGCGAGACCAGGGGCGAGACCAGGGGCGAGACCAGGGGCGAGACCAGGGGCGAGACCTGGGGCGAGACCTGGGGCGAGACCTGGGGCGAGACCTGGGGCGAGACCAGGGGCTTCAGGGCTTCCTGCGCCTGGAACAGAAACAGTGTGAGTGAAACTGAAGCCGATTCTCAGATAAAAGATAAAAAGAGTAAAATACTTGGTGACGGCGTGATGCTCGAACCCAGGGCCCAGGTTCGACCCGACTCTCATCTCCACAGACACGGCGCACTGTGAACAGAAGGTGAGTTGTGAGTGACGGGCAGGTTTCGTGTTCGTGTTCGTGTTCTCGGTCGTACTCTGGTCTCCACGTCGGTCCAGGATCCGTCCGACTGTTGTTTGGGGGCAGCGGCTCCTTCAGACGACTTCCTCTTGCGACTGAAAAGGGAAAAGAGGAAATGTCAGACACAGTTTGATGTTTTGTGGTCAGTGGATCAGTGGAGGATCTGGTCTGGACCTGGGCGCCGACGTCAGCTCCTGCCTCAGAGTCTCGATGTCGGTGAAGTGAACGGCCTGTCCTCCTCCCCTCGTCTTCATCACCTCCCCCTGAGGATGAAGCAGCTCGTTAGTTTCACTCGGGAGATAAACTGGTCTTGTTTGTGGTCACAGACCTTGATGAGTTTGGTCTGGATCTCTCCGTCTGACGCCACCTCCTGGTGAGTGAGGACGTAGCGGTCGCACTTGGCCAGAGCCTTTTCGTTGGGCGCAGACACCTGGATGGCGTTGGGGATGACGGGCTGCAGGACGGTGCCCAGGTCCAGGTTTGAAGAGGGTTTATGGTCCACCCACTTCTCTCCTCCGGCCGAGCGCGAGCGTCTGTGCAGCGGCCGCACCGGAGCCGCCGTCTGCTCACAAAAACAAAAACTTTATTAAACATAAACCCGACAGACGGGAGGCTGCAGTACCGCGCACGCACAGGCAGGGGCGACGGTGAGGCGGATCTCTTGGCGGGTTGGCCTCTCTTCTCTTCTCTGGAGGGTCTTTTGGAGGGCGTCTGTCGGGGCGGAGGCTCCGGGCGCCCGGGCGTCTTACTCTCTGTGACGATGGCCTTCAGCTGCTTCAGCTTCTCGTCTTTGACCCACAGTTTGTTCTGCATCTCCAGCTGCATGGCGTTCACCCGCCTCATCTGAACAAAACAACACCACAACAACACCACAACAACACAACAGCGTCAGAAAACACACGTGTGCGGTGTATTTATGATGATCTTTCAGACGTTTGAGCAGGACTCACACACTCCTTCTCCCACTTGTGCTGCGTGTCGGACATGGCTCCCTGCAGCCTCTGCTCCATGCGTCTCTTCTCTGTCAGTTCTCTGTTCAGACGTTGTTCTCTGGTCTCCAGCTCCTGCTGCAGGGACCTCTTATCCACCTCGTACACCTGAGTGGTTTTCTGCAGGATGTCGATCTGCAGACACAGTGAAGGCTTCAGTCACATCTGAAGAGTTTTGTCTAAACTGTAGGTCAGAGTTAAACTTGGAGAAGTCTGACCTTGTGCTCTTGTGTCTTTGTCTTCTTCTCCAGACGTTCGATCTCTGCTCTCTGACTCTCTATGACTCGCTCCTTCTCCTGCAGTTTGGCGTTTTGTTGGTGGATGTGGTCGTCTCTGGAGGAGCGTTTGTTGTCCCAGTCGTGCAGCACAGACTTCAGAGCTCCAGCTGAAACAGACAAAAGAATCAAACCTGTTTCTTCACTAACACCAGAGTCTCCAGGATCTGTAAAGACCTGCTTGGTGGAACTGCTCCAGCATGTTCTGTCTGAGCCTCTGTCGGTTCTGCAGAGCCTCGATGAGTCTGGGGAGGGTGGAGTCATCGTGAGGGTCGGTGAGGACACAGGCGGGCAGAGGGGGCAGGGGGGGCACGGTGCCCATCGCGCCCAGGACTGAAGACAAGTCTGTGGAACGACAGATTCAAACATGTGGAAACTCAGACGTGAACTTCTGGAGTGGAGGATCTGCAGCCTCTTGTACGACAGAGATTCTCAGATATGTTCTTCTGTACGGAATTAACTTTATTTAATTTACACGTCTCCATGGAGACAAACAGGTGACTGCACCAGGGCAGGTTACAGGTCAGATCTATGGAGAGGCGACTCCACGCTCAGAATGTTTTTAGTAATAAAACTACAGCCAATAGAAAAAAGGTTATAGATCAATTTAAAATGATTTATGTGGAACATTCCAGACAAATTAAATCTGGCAGAGTCCACTCAGTAAAGTTACACAGTGCATCTTTAAAGCTTCATTATTTTGACGAGAGCAGATCTAATCATCTTCACCCGTGTGTGCGTCCACAGGTCCTCCGCGCTCCTCCAGTCTGCGCGTCAGTTCTTCTTTAAACGCGGCGTTTCGGTTTCGTCGTCCGGGGGTGAAGCCGCAGATGGGTCGGTCCACGGGCCGCGCCACCTCCACCTCCTGAGTCATTTCTGCAAACCGCATCACCAACTGCACGAAGGACGACGACGACGCGGGGACACACACACACACACGAGGACACACACACACACACACACAAACAACAGAACTGAGTCATCGTCCAGTAAATACTCCAGTAAATACTCCAGTAAATACTCCAGTAAATACTCCAGTAAATACTCCAGTAAATACTCCAGTAAATACTCCAGTAAATACTCCAGTAAATACTCCAGTAAAGGACCAGTGTGTGAAAATGTTTATATACAATGATGTGTGCAGTGTAAAAGATTCTTTTTTCTTATTTAAATTAGTGATGAAGACGAGACGGGAGCAGGTGACCAAAAAAAAACAAAAACAAAAAAAACACATCACAAAAACACCAAAACCAAAATGTGAAGATTCTGTTCATTACAATAAAATCGACCCAAATCACACGACCGTGAGGACGCGAGTCCAGCAGAGACTCTGACATGATTCATTCGTTGGAGCCGCAGGAGACAAAAAGGTTCAGTGATTCTTGTGTTTTAATTTCCTTTTCACTGGTGCCAATTTCTTGACTTTTTACAATTGAACAGATTTTGTTTTGCTTTGTTGCCATGGAAACAGCTCCATTCTGCATCACTCTGGATCCACAGTGAGAGTTTGGTGTTTTGTTTGTTTTACCAGCGTCTCTTCGTAGTCGTCGGCTTTCGGGTTGACGCAGACGATCATCTTGACTTTTCCTTCTCCGTCAAAGTAATTCTTGAACAGATGAGTGACTTTAGAGTCTCTGTAAGGAACCATCTACAACAAAAGCAAAAACTCATTAGTTCATTTGGTTCAACATTTAACCCGCCCTGAGGTGCTTCTGTGTGTCTGACCTCTGACCTCTGACCCTCGGGATTGTTCTGTTCTAATCGAGACTTTTTAAAAGGGACAGTTTGGAATTTTGGACATAAAATAAATTTAGAAGTAAAAAGGAAAAGAGGTCCTATCGACACAGACATGGTGCGGTGGTGTTTTGTTTTTAGTGGCAGAACAACAGTGGCCATTGACTTGCAGTGACCTCTGCACATATAAGGACTGGATGGAATATTTTAAAAAGTGTCTCCACACGTCTCCAACACTCTGGACCATGAGGAAATGAAGTCCTATGTCCAAAATTCCAAACTGTCCCTTTAAATCTCAATACTGATCTAAAACGACTTCATAAAGAAACAAAACTGAGAAAGAAAAACTGGTGTCCAGTGGGACCAGACCAGGACCAGGGCCAGACCAGGGCCAGGGCCAGACCAGGGCCAGACCAGGGCCAGACCAGGACCAGACCAGGACCAGACCAGGACCAGACCAGGACCAGACCAGGACCAGACCAGGACCAAAACCAGACCAGACCAGACCAGACCAGACCAGACCAGGGCCCCAGGACCAGGACCAGACCAGACCAGACAGGGCCGTCACAGTGGGCATGTAACGGCGTCTTTAAAATAAGAGATTAAATTCCTCAAACATGACTCGGTGCACAAAGAGCCTCAGGTGAATAAATGTTGAGGTGAAACTGTAACTTGGTTCAAAGTTGTGAAAAGTCCATTTTACAGAATAAATCTGGATTAAAACGTGTAAATCTGTAAATCCGTGCACAGTTCGTACTTTATTCGTCCCACAGAGCTGGTTTTCTCTCAGGACCTCGATGCAGGTGCGGAGCGTCAGCAGAGACTGGTTGATGTTTCCTGAGGAGAGACACAGTCGGGTTTGAGTTTGAGTGAGATTAAAACAAATGTGAGAGTTTAAGACTGAAAACTCTTCTCCCTGTGTTTAGTACAAACGAGTCAGGTTCTTTTCATCTTCTTCCAGTTGTCAGATGTTTTCTGTGTTTATCTGTGTGGAGCTGGTTTGGTTTTTGTCGACTTTTATGTGAAGCTGAACTTGTTTTAAATGTGTTTTAATATAAATAAACTTGAACAGAAAAGTGAGTGACCTGCTTCTCTGATGCGTGTGCCCTCCGCCCCCGTCCTCGTGCTTCTCTCGCTGCCCGCCAGGTCCACCAGGCACAGCTGACTCAAAACCACCTGAGTCTTATCCTGAACACGGAGAAAAACAATCACATTATTATTTTGACTCTTATTTATCACCAGGATCCACATGAACAAGAGCAGATCCTGAACAGGACTCAGGAGAAAGTTTGCAAATATGAAACGTCATCAGGGCTTCGATATCACAACACACTTAAAATATAAAAGAGAATCTGGTCCAGAGTCTTTGATCAACATATTTATCGTGTGGGGAGGTGGAAAGAGCAGAACAAAGATGATCCTGCTGTAATATCCTGTTCAGTCCCTCTGACCTGTAGGATGTTGTCTCCGTCGGCGTCGAGCGGAGCCTGGGCCAGTTTGATGATGAAGACGCTGTGGGAGCGACTGGACTCACGGTTCAGACGAGTGTTCGCCACTTTCCTCCTCTTCTGACCTACAGCACAGACAAGAGTTTACACGAGATTCTCACGAGTCCAAATGAGAAACGTGTGTGAACTATAATCAGTCCTGCTCCAGGTGAGGATCTAGTCCATACATCAGTGCACTGCAGGTTTAAAAACACAGGAACCTGTGGCTCAGGAGCTCGACGCCTCCATCACATTATCAACTTATAACGAACCAACCAACGCATTATTTATAAACCTTCAAACGCTGAAATTTTATGATTTAGTCGACCTTTATACTCTGAAAATAATGTTCAAAGTAAACAACAATCTCCTGTCAAAATCATTACAGAACATGTTCAAAATCCAAAAGAGCCGATCTGAGCTCAGAGGCACGGACATGTTTATTAAAAAGAAAATCAGAACAAACATTATGAAATGTTGTAAATGTGTTAAAGGGCTGGAGCTGTGGAACAAATGTACAGAAAACCTCAAACTGTGCACCAAACTCTTTCACTTTATAAAGAAGTTTAAATGTTTCACTCTGGACAGAAACATGAAATATGAGACTAAGTTTGTGCTGTAGAACTTTGTTGTTCTGTTACTGATTTGTTTGTTTCCTCCTGCTGTTTTTATGAAGATGAACTGGTGTCAAGATGAAGCTCTGACAAAGGAATAAAGGGTAAAGGCAGAATAAGTTTAAGCTTCAGCCTGCACCTTTTCAGTCTGTGTGTGTTAAATATGACTGTGAATGAATGTCAAAATATACCTGTGACCCAAATAAATAAATAATAAATAAATAAAATCTGAATATCTCACCAACAGATTCCTGAGTTCTATGAATTGTGGATAATAAATCAAATTTGATTCATTGCCGTTGTAAATCCATTATTTTGATGCTTAAACTTTGTGCACTGATAAATGGAAAATAGTTTATCACCATGGGTCTCATATTTACTAGTTTTTTTTGTGTTTGCTGAAATAAGCAGCTCTCTGGCATTTTTGTTTTGTAAATTGTCTCACTGGAGAAAAAAGGTTGGAGATATTGAGCCACAACTGTTCCGTTTTATTATATCTGCAGTATTTTGTTTTTATCATGAGTGAACTGCTCAGAGAGAAGATTACACAAAGTCATGTCCAGACCAGAGTCGACCTGGAGGTCCACAATGTCAGGTCAGATCAACCCATCATCAGCACAGTCACTGCCGAGATTTAAGTTCAGACTCTGTAAAAGTGTAAAGGAGAGAATATTCTAAAGTCTAGAGTCTGTACCTTTCCAGAACACCTGAAAAGCCTCCTCCGCCGACTTCACCTCCATCTCCACGCACCCCGACACGTACATGTTGTGGTTGAAGTCTTCTCTCAGGAGCTTCGACTGCGGAGGTCTGCAGAGGAAAAGATTTTTAAAAACACGCAACACAAAGAAGAAAAGTAAGTGACAGATCGGACTACGAAGCTAAAAGGAGCGTCTGAAAACGGCAGAAGCAGGAGCAGGTGTTGGTGGTGGTGTGTCCTGTGGTGTCGTGTCGGTGTCGTGGCCGTAGTTGAGTCGTGCGTCAGGACACAGCGGGGGGAGGGGGGGGGGGGTTCAGTTAAAAAGCTTTAGATGTGGATTAAAGGCTCGGTGAGTTTTTGCACAAACGCGCGGCTGGAGGCGAGTGGGTGACACTGATCTGACTCTCGTTCTAAAGTGTTCTACAGGTGAAGCCCACTAGAGGAGCCACAGGCCACGTACATGAAGTCATTGTTGGGGCGCACAGGTGTGCCTCCAGCATTCCACCTGGGAAGAGAAGAGCTCGGTCTTTTATCTGTTTAGTCACAGTTCATCGTTTCATTCTTTTTCAGACGTACTTCGGTTTGATGGGGTCTTCGGACGAGTCTTCCAGGAGGTCGTAGATGTAGTTGTTGTAGATCTCGATGTAGGAGACAAAAACGCCGTAGGAGCTGTCCTCATCCACCGCGTCCACTTTGTAAACCTCGTCCTGTTTTATCATGTCTGCGATTTCAGGGTCAGTCTTCTGTCTACAAACAAACAAACACACACTTTTATTATTTACTTGTAAAACCCAAACGCCGCTGAACTGTTCTCTAAACTGGGGATGGGCATGATTAATCGATAATTGATCATTAAGAATTTCATGGATTCCGTTCATTTTAATGGACAAACTGAATGTATGTGTGTGTGTGTCGTGACCAAACAGGTGTGTACATGTGTCTCTGCATCAGAAGGAGCGACACACAAACAGTGGGTCAGTCTGTAACGAACCGAAGCACAAATGTGGATTTAACCAGGATTTGTAGAAGAAATTCCACACTTTCCGTTGCGTTGGGACAAGTGTGAGTCCATGTGCACAGTGGATAAAGCAGCACATATGTTTCTGTGTCCAGTGGGAAAAAGTTTTTCCAGGTGAGAGTCGCTCAATGTGGATGACGAGGCCCCGCCCCCCTCCCCCCGTACGCTGTCCTGGTTTTGACAAACACAAATCTGGTCACACTGACCTGTATTCACCTGAGTCATGTCTTTTAATCCAACACAAGTTGAACCACATCAGCGACACAAGAGCTGGAGTTTTATCTTCACTTAGTTTATGTAAATTAGTGATGTGGTTTTAAGTTTTGTTTCTGTGAGATTTGAACAAAACTGAATTAAACACATTATAATGTCAAACAGCTGATGTGGATCTAGAGTCGTTATGTTTATATGTCGTAAAGTTGAATTTATTGATGCAGATTAGTGCAGATAGTAATAATAATGATGAACATTTTAATATAAAAACGTTCATGATTAATCGATAATCGATCGTTAATTCTTCCAACGATCGATTAAGAACATTTCATCGAATGAAGGTCACTACTCTAAACTCTGACTCACCTGGAGCTCGACGGTTTCGCCGTGTTCAGAGAATTGTCTCGTTTTTGTCGCTCCAATAAAGCGTCCACTTCAGTCTGAACCTCCATCCCATTTTTCTCATCACTTTTAAAAACCTACAGAAGAGAAAAGTCTTTAAACGATGCAAATAAAATCTGTAACTCAAACGGTTTTATATTTACGTACAAATCTTTTAGCCTGATAAGGTCCGACACTGTTAAAAATCATGTCCAGGGAGCGAGGCAGTAAACCCCCGAGCCCCGGAGAGCCCGTCATCGTGAAGGTTTTCCCGCTGCCGGTGACTCCGTACGTGAAGAGGAGACCTGAGCCGGAGAGAACAGGTCAGTGAGAGTCTGACAGAGGCTCAGGTCACTCTGGTCACACAAGCTCATGTTTCCTTCTTTAATCAGTGATAAAAAACAAAAACAAACGTCATTTCAATCTCATTTTTACTTTAAGACAGAGCTGGGACCAAGTCTTTGTTTTACAAGTCTCAAGTCTTTGACCTCAAGTCCAAGTCGAGTCCAAGTCGTCTGCTTTGAGCTTCAAGTCATTTCAAGTCTTTAAATCAAAGTACCAATTACAGCTTAGATTTTTGAAATTTATACAAATTTTATAGATAAATTGTACTTTAAAAAAATCATATATTTGTACATGAGTATTTATCGAGTTTATAAGAGTTGTAGAATTTAATTTAGTTATTTTTTCCTTTTTAAACGTCTTGACAAGATCTTAGTGTGAATCTTTACGATCAGAACAGAAAAAAAAGCACTTTTAAATCTGAATTCTAAGTCACAGACCTTCAAGTCCGAGTCGAGTCCCAAGTCTTAGTCCATTTTATCAAGTCAAGTCTCAAGTCCTAAAAACAGTGACTCAAGTCTGACTCGAGTCCAAACTTCTGCTTTAAGGCTCCTCAAACGTGAAAGTGTTCAGTCCTCTGATTGAACCATGTGGCGAAACGTGTCATGTTTAAAGTTCATTTTAAAAACACTGGTGTAATCAGCTCCAGCTCAAGTCTCTGAGGAGTTTGTACCATTTTTCCCACTGATCAGGTCGTCCACCAGAGGTTTGGCCACACACTCGAAAAGCTCCTTCTGAGACACAGACACTCCAAACACTCGTTTAAACGAATACTGAGTCTGAAAAACAAGACAAGACAGATTCATTTTATTTGCTTAATTAAATTATTGTTATTATTATATATATATTCAGTGTTGGGGAGTAACAGATTACATGTACCCGAGTTATGTAATCAGAGTACAAATTATGAGTAACTGTATTCAGTTACAGTTACTGTTTCAGTGAGTGGGAATTGGATTACAGTTACTTTGTTGAAATAAATGGATTACACGGCGATATGTTCCTGTATCCCTTTTTTTTTTTTTTCTTTCCGGTAAATCTACTCTTCACCAGACACTAAACCAAGACTAAAACCAGGACTAAAACCAGGTCTAAAACCAGGTCTAAAACCAGGTCTAAAACCAGGACTAAAACCAGGACTAAAACCAGGACTAAAACCAGGACTAAAACCAGGTCTAAAACCAGGTCTAAAACCAGGTCTAAAACAGGATTGAACAGGACTAAATCCTGCTGTGTGACGTGTTTCTTCGTTTTCTATCAATAATATTTTTAATTTGGTTCAATAAAGTTTGGACTTTTTTATTTTCTTTTATCAGACAAAACTTCTTAAGTGAAGATTTCCTCGTCTTTGTTTCTCTACAGCAAATCAAGTAATCCAAAGTAATCAGATTACATTACTCACTTTAAGTAATTTAATGGATTACGTTACAAACTACATTTTGGTGTGTGTAATCTGTAATCTGTAGGGGATTACATTATAAAAGTAACACTCTCAAGACTGTGTCTGTAGTTTCATTTCTCGCTCACCTCTTTGTATTCTCCATTTCTGTTGACTTTAAATCCTTCTGGAGCGTGGAGCTGGACGGTGGAGGAGCTGATCACCTCGATGCAGCACTCCTGGTCCTCAGGGCCCAGGGGCCTCACACGACAGTAAACCT